GGAGAGGGGGAGGCAAACGATTACAAACGTTTGGTCGCGGGGGGCCATCCATAAGTTTCCCAAAAAAATCTACTCGCCTGTTCTTCTCGGTTTCTTGCCTCCATCTTTGCAACGTCTAAAACGTTGAACCCGCGACGTCTGGCACGAGAGAAGAATTCTGCTACGTCCTTTTCGATCGGTGGGAGCCTTCAAGGGCCCTACACTTGCACCTTTTTTTTTTTTTTTTTTTTTTTTTTTTTTTTTTTTTTTTTGCACGTATTTTTTCCATTTATGGGCTGCGATCTTTTTTTTTTTTTAACCAACGGTCAGATATGATTTTTTCCACTTATGGCCTTCGATCTTCGTAACCAACTGTCGGGAAGAGAAGAGTATGGACATCCCCCTCGACATTCTCGATGACAACGTACAGACAGCGGTGAAACTCATCACACACATCGCCGGACCTCGGAGCGCGTCGTTTTTTTTTTTTTTTTTTTACTAGTCGTCACGCCACCTAGAGATATGCCGTTGGTGCCCCCGAGTGGCATTGAGCAGAGACTGCTGATGTTCATACGGGGAGGGGACCGGAGGGGAGGCACAGTGACTGGCCTATCGAAGAAGCTCGGTCCTCATCCTGATGCCACTTCACTCATCGTTCGTTCGTGGCCTTGACACGTCATCGTCAAACCTTGTTTTTTTTTTGTTTCTTGTTTGTCATTTTGTCATCGTCAAACTGACCAGCCCCCATGTAATTTGAGAGAAGATATTTTACTTTTCTGACTTCGGTTGTGGGACTCGAACAGAGGTCTGTATTTCAGCTGTTGTTAAAGGGTGTACCACTTGAGCTGCGGTAGGCCCGTAGGTAGTTCACTCCGTCCTTCCTTCCCGAGGACGAGGGATAGGCTTACCGGGGGCAAGTCCTACTTGGTACCCGAAATCTCAAATCTGACCGTAGATTCGGAAGATCAACGGCCGGAAATGAAGAATCAGTCAGCGTAATAAGTGGGACTTGGCCCCCGGACGTAGGATGATGTCGAGCACTGAAGGATTCGTCGATGTGTGTGATGAGTTTCACCGCTGTCTGTCCATTTTCATCGTCGAGAATGTCGAGGGGGATGTCCAGTGGTTATCCAGTGATTGATGTAATCGAGAATGTCGAGCACTGAAGGATCGGACGATGTGTGTGATGAGTTTCACCGCTGCTGTCTAACGTTCTATCGCTGTCACAAGTGCTGTCCACGGAGGCAGTGGGGTGCTGCCTTCGAAGCGTTCGTTCACGCGTGGACGAGAAGATACGCACTAGTGGGCAGGGCGTGGAACAACGAGAGAAGGCCACGTGTACAGCAAAACATGCAGCGGGAAGCCACGTGCCCGCGCAGGCGCGAGCGGGGGATTGTTATGAGCGTGACACTGACGTGAAGACGATTCCATAAGCAGAGTCTGAGTTTTCGAGCATGTCCGTGTACTTGTCGTTAAGCCGGTGCAGGGGGCCACGTGACGTGTCATCCTGAGAGGAAGAGGACTCGGAAGAAGGGACAGGGGTTGGAAGAAAGGACACGTGGCCAGATACCATAGGAAGCCAGGCCTGTCACTTGACGTGAGTCGAGCCGAACAAGGAACGCAGCCAGGCTCGTTGAGGGTCATTCGCTGAGACTGAAGGACATCAGTATATTGATACCAATATATGTGTATATATGATATATATATATCGTCACAAACAGAACTGCCCGGTAAAACCGTAGGCAGAGAGAGAGAAGAGGACAACAAACGAGGGGCTGTGACAAACTGTTTCGTCGGAGTTTCACCGACTCATCAATATATATATATATGTATATGATATCACAGCCCCCGGTTTGTTGTCCTCTTTTCCCTCTCTGCCTACGGTTAACCGGGCAGTTCTGTTTGACTAGGCATTATGTATTATACAGTGTATTGATATATCTGCGCTCACGGACGGCGATGGTCGTTGGGAAGAGGAACATGGAGATGGAGATGGAGTTGCGTGAGGGTACACGGCACAGTTGAGCTGACGGTGGGGACCACTTCTCAAGCAGGGTAGCGGGCAATAAATTACTCTGCAACGTCGTCATAGAGTCGCAGAGTCGCCACGTCTTCCCCCGAATAGAACGCACGTTGTTGCGACCGTACGTTCTATTTGGGGGATGACGGTACATATAGGCTGAGAGTCGTCACCGTAGGTTTTTTTTTTTTTTTTTTTTTTTACAATCACCGTAGGTTTGATTTGGGTGAGGAGGGAGAAGCGGCAATAGGAGCAGGGAATCGTCCTGCAGCAAGGCTTCTGGCTTCCTGTCACGGTTAACAGAACTGACTGACCAGTTGGACCTTCATCCTAGCGCGAGGAGGATGTGAAGAAAGGTGGAGGGGCCAACCCACCTGTCCTGCTGGTAGGGGTGGCAAACACCACCCTGGGTCGAATGTCAGAAGAGCCTGGAACTCTCGACCTGTGAGAGATGACCATCTCAGAAAGGCAGGAGGAGAAAGCAGGGGAACTGTACGTTGCGGCCATGGGGGAGGAACGCGCTGATAAGTCATTCATAGAGAAAGACAGCAAGAAGACGACGGTGAGCAGGGGAGGAATAGTTGAAAGGATCTTGCTATGCCCGCTCTCCTCATCGTGTCCTCTCCCTCCTCTTTCTTCTTATCCTCGCTCGACGAGCGAGCACTGCGCGGGGATGGCTTCTCCTCCTCAGCAGCAGCAGCCTAACCGATGCGCGGGGATGGCTTCTCCTCCTCCTCAGCAGCAGCAGCCTAAGCGATGCGCTGGGATGGCTTCTCCTCCTCAGCAGCAGCCTAACCGCTGCGCGGGGAAGGGTTCGCTTCGTCGGCAGCCTGACCGATGCGCGGGAAAGGCTTCTCTTCAGCCTCATACTCCCTCTCCTCTGCACGTTCCTCTCCTCTCCTTCTCCCAAATAGTACTCTTGTGCAGTCTATTCTTAACCCCCCCTTACATACCTATTGCGTCTGGGCTAAGATGTCAGGTCGATGATCAGCAAAGCTGTACTGCTTTTGTAGTCTATCGCATCCAGGTCGGCGACAGCATGCGAGACATCTGTGACCGTTTCCGACAGTACGAGGGCGTCGTTCTGGTCATTAACAACATGACGGAAGCCACCCGACTAACGGTTAACAGAGAGCTAATCATTCCTGTTAGTTGCTCTTGCAATCAGTCGAGGAGCGCACAGGTCTACTGGGCTAGACCGACTTATCCCGTGCAAGTGGACGACACCCTCGAGAAGATACAGAACGATTTGTATCAGAACCTGACCGCGATTAGCGATATTGTGGAGGTGAACCGGCTGGGGGGTCAGGATTACCTAATGGCGGGATGGACGTTGAGGATCCCGATCCCGTGCGCTTGCAACACATCGGACGGCGGGAGCTTTTCCTCGTTCGTGACGTACGTGCCTGGCTCGACGGGCGAGACGGCGGACGCCATAGCCGCCAAGTTCCAGACGACCGTGGGGAACATTCGGAGAGCAAGCATGATTGCGGAAGAGGAGGGCGTCGTGGACGTCTACCGGCCGTTGATCGTGCCCACTAACAGTGTGTACTCTCTATTTAGCGGCAGCGGCGGCGGCGACTGGGGGAGGTGGTCGTCTGGCGATGGCGCTGCTGGCGGTCGTCCGTCGTCCTCTAGTGATTATATGACGAGACACGGCTCAGAGTCGGCGGCGTATCAATCGGCCACGTCATCATCGTCCTCGTCATCATCATCGCCGTCGTCGACGAGGAAAAATTCTCGGTCGGAGGGGGGGGGGGGGGGTAGATGATGATGGCGGCGGCGGCTTCAGCGGGGAAGTTGGCACATTGGGGTTGTGGATATGGGTGATCGTCGGGGTCGGGATCTTGGCCGTGCTGGCCGGCGCTTCCGCTCTCACCGTTCGTATATTGCGAGAGCAGCGGCCGCCGTCGCCGCCGCTGCCGCCGTCGTGGTGCAAAGATGTGTCGGGATCGGGTCCGTGGGCGTTTGGCCGAACTCTCGACCTCAGCGTAATATCTCGAAGTCGCAGCCTTTCGTTCTTAGGATGCCACGTGGCCGGTTCTGATTACTCCTCCGGCGTTGAGGACAGTAAGTACATCAGCTACGGCTTCGACAGCCAGCTGGATAGGCTTCGAGGTGGCGGCGTCGGCGGCGGCGGTCCCGGAGCAGAGCTATCTGGAAGTGGCGTTGACGTCAGCAGCGGCGGCGGCGGCGCAGGAGGAGGAGGGACAGCGGACCGCGTAGCGATCGTTTCGTTAGACTCTGCCCGCGGGAAAGCAGTGGACAACAGACATGCCTTTTCGGTTGACGACAACCGAAGGGGGAAGGTGATCCCGATCGAGCTTTATTCTGAGAAGATTCCACCGACCGGCGGCGTCGGAGGCGTCGGAGGCGGCGGCGGCATCGGGACGTTCTCGTACCACGAGCTTGCGCATGCGACAAACGGGTTCAGTCCGGCTAATCAGATTGGCAAGGGTTTGTCGGGGCCAGTGTTTTACGCTAAGTTACGCGGCAGAGAGGTGGCAATCAAGAGGCTGAAGGTTTCTTGGGGGCCCAAGGAGCTGCGAAAGGAGATGAAAGTTCTGCGGAAAGTTCACCATAAGCACCTCGTTGAGCTGATTGGCTTCTGCGCGGACAGCTCTCTCTTCCTCGTGTTCGAGTACTGTCATCACGGATCCCTTAGTGGTAGTCTGCACTCCCCAGCCGTGCACGGGGTCCTAGACTGGCCCACGAGAGCGCAGGTGGCCCTCGACGCAGCCCAGGCCTTGTTATACATACACGACAGGGTTCACCCCTCCTACGTGCACGGCGATGTAAGATCGGCCAACATTCTCCTTGACCGGAATTTAAGGGGTAAAGTTGGCGACTTTGGACTTAATAAGCTCACGACGAAAGATGACCTGCAGCGGGGGCGCAGCAGCCACACTGCCGGGCAACTGCGGACCTTATCTGGTAGAAATCTTGCCTATATGGCCCCAGAATACCTACAAGAAGGCCACGTGTCGACTAGTGTGGACGTGTACTCCTTAGGAGTAGTCCTTCTAGAACTACTTACGGGGAGAAACGCCGCCGCCTTCACGGTGGAGCAGGGCAGCAGTGGTATGACCTTGATTGAGTCTTCATGTACGTCCTCCGACTGCTCTTACTCCACCTTCTCCTACTCCCAAGGTGCGGACTTCGCAAGCCTACCGTCACTCCCAGCGGCGCTAGTGCTGCTCATCAAGCAGATGAAGTCTCCGAAGGATGTGAAAGCCATAGCTGATCCTCGGCTCAGCGAATCTGGGTATCCAAAGGAGGCTGCGCTGCAGCTCGCCAGACTTGCGGTGGAGTGCGTCTCTGACAAACCGCAAAAAAGACCTCAGATGAAACGCGTCGTGTATGTGATGGAGGACATACTTGCCATGTCGCGACCACGACATCAACCTTCTGCAGATACCGCCGATCCAGATCCCTATCATGTCGCTTTTCCCAGACCGTAGGTACACACACACACACACACACACACACACACACACACACACACACACACACACACAGAGTCACAGAGGAGTTACCAAACGTCCGCCTGCTCCCCGCAGCACCCTTGCTCCCCCTGACTCCCCCTTCTTCTCTCTCTCTCTCT